TTCACTAGTCGTAAGTTATCCCTTCACAGTCGTGAGTTATCCCTTCACAAGTCGTAAGTTATCCCTTCACTAGTCGTAAGTTATCTCTTCATCAGTCGTAAGTTATCCCTTCACTACCCGTAAGATATCCCTTCACCATTTTGATTGTTGCCGCCGGAGGCAGCTAGTTTATTATACACCCCATACTCATCCTGTGAGCGGTAGCGCAAAAAGGATTACAGAGGGGTACAAAGGGGCTTACCCCTTCACCAGTTGTAAGTTATCCCTTCACCAATCGTCAATTACCCTATCACCAGGATTATCCAGTTATCTCTTCACCGGGACTCGTCAGTTACCCCTTCACCAGGAGTCGTCAGTTATCCCTCCCTTCACCAGGAGTCATCAGTTATCCCTCCCTTCACCAAGAGTCGTCAGTTATCCCTCCCTTCACCAGGAGTCATCAGTTATCCCTCCCTTCACCAAGAGTCGTCAGTTATCCCTCCCTTCACCAGGAGTCATCAGTTATCCCTCCCTTCACCAAGAGTCGTCAGTTATCCCTCCCTTCACCAGGAGTCATCAGTTATCCCTCCCTTCACCAAGAGTCGTCAGTTATCCCTCCCTTCACCAGGAGTCATCAGTTATCCCTCCCTTCACCAAGAGTCGTCAGTTATCCCTCCCTTCACCAGGAGTCATCAGTTATCCCTCCCTTCACCAAGAGTCGTCAGTTATCCCTCCCTTCACCAGGAGTCATCAGTTATCCCTCCCTTCACCAAGTCGTCAGTTACCAACGTGTTGGATCAGTTTATATAACCGTGAATATCTCTGCATTTACTAACTTGCTGTTGTCTCTGATAACCCAATGCTTGTAAGCGCATTTAATAAATAAATACATAAAGGTAAATCATTTGGGTTTACTTACCTTTCACGTTAAGGGCACCGTTGACGCCAGAAGGCTTAATTAATAAACTCTTCACATTGCGTCTGCTGACAACCCACACGCAGGTGTCTTCAGTGAGCCCACACACGTCACCCGGCGTCGAGCTAGAAGCGACATTATAGCATAACAGTTGAAGCCCGAGTCACGAGGTTAACGCCAACCCTCGGGACGAGCAGCCGCACCTTCCTCCTGTGCCACGGCTGATGCCCGACTGTGATTTCCACCTTCAGTGGCCAGGGCCGCCCTGCTAGTCGTACGTCAGGCCTCTGCTACTATTACCCAACCCGCGGACGCTGCCAGCCCACTTGGGTTATGTTGTCGTACCGAGTTTGCAAAGTACTGTTCATCTGATTTTTTAAAATTGCATTAACCACCAAATTATAATTATTATTTAGAACCGTCTATTGCAATGGTCCATAAATTGTTCTTATAAGTGTGGAGTGTGAAGCAAATAAGTGAATAAACGTTATTAGCGAAATAATAATGGGCTTGAATTAGTGACCTGTTTTCATTATTTTCCTGCGGTTTTATGAACATTATATTAAGTTTACGGCATATTGTGAACAATTTTACATGTATAGTCTATATTTTGTACGTATGTGTTATTGCCCACATGGTAGTCTTAGCATGGAGATGGATTGACATAACGTAACATTTCCTCAAGCCTAACACATAAGCTGGGGGAAAACAAATTAGGTGATGCAAATATATGGTTTCTCATACCTTTGTAAACATTATAGATCTTGCTGTCGTGTAGTGCGTTGTCACACTATTTTGGTTGGCAGATATGAGTGTTTCGAAAAATAATTGAATTGTGCAAGAAAATATACAGTAGCAAGGAATAGAAATCTAAAACAAAACAAAATCTTTTACTTGATCGTTTTTCTCTTACTTTTATGTGAAATAAGAATCAATTAATAAAGTTCGATGAATCTTTAATTTTACATGCTAGGCACTATGTGTTTTTGGTAATCGAAAATTCGCTTGGATACAGTATTAGGTAATTGCAGTCATTTTGGTGCAGGCGATTATTTTAATACTAGCCAGAAAGTCAAACTGTGGTAAGGCAGAAGGAGCATAGTCGTTGGAATTGAAATTTCAGGAGTTTAAATCAGCCAGTGAAATCACAGGAGTATTTAAATACAGCCAATCAACGACGAGTTCATATATTCACCAATTGCAGGGCGTTAATTGTATCCACAATATCTACTCACGAATTCATCAAGAGCTAGTCATAGTGGCAAATTAGGCTCAACGTAGTTGCCAAAAATGCAGAAACCTCTTGTGAATTTCGACCCAAGAGACGCAAAAAAAGTTCAAAACCAGTATGAATTTAAGAGAGAACCGATTATGAGGACAGAACCATCATCAGGGCAGCCTGCAAGGGATGCCTCATGCATCCCTTCCTCTCTAGTTCTCCCAACGTCACAAAAATCATGTACTAAATTGTCTGAGCCTAGCCGATGGACCCACGAATTAAAACATAAGTCCGTCAATTTAGTGAGCTGCTATGTTTATAGTACTTCTTATTTTGACGTTGGAGATTTTTACATCAAAATGCCAAGTATTATTCGAGACAAGAGGTTGTTCGAGAGAAGACGCCGCAGCGGACGTCAGTCTTCGTTTCGGTGGAGAGTGACAGGCCTGTTCATCGATCTAGCGAATTTTGGTCTAGTGTGAGCATCCTTCGCGACTGGATGAGTAATGTACAGTCTGCTATGGAGCGCAGCTAGAAATATCCAATCAAACCATGGCTTGTGGAGTTTCATCTTAGCACACCAAAGGTGAGCCTTTGATTTATGATCATCGAAAGATCAAACCTATATCCAAAAACGGATTTATCGCGTGTGTGCGGGGCCATCCATTGTAAGTCAAGAAAGGATCAACGATCAGCCCACAATCTTGCCCCATGGATATGTCGATAACCAGCAAGTGCATGAATGAATATTGCTTGCCACTAAAGGATGCAGCCCTGTGAATTTCAAAATATTACCTATGGACAGTAAAGTGTTCGGTATTTATTCATATATCATTGTTACGAGGTTCCTGATTTGGAATGATATATTCCAAGTATTATTTATTCATTGCCAGTATTTTTTGTTGCCTTATTACACACCAAAACATATAAATTATAAGGAGGCAGCCTGTCAAATATTTCATTATATTAGGGATAAATTGTACAGTGTTTATAAATTGTTCACCTCATTATAAGCCTCAATAAATTTATTATAGGAGTTATCTGAAAACGGTTTGCAGTAAAAATTAACACTTTTCACTCTACATTTTTCTTTTATTTACATAGACTACCGCATTTCAGACCCTTCACCTAAATGTGGTGTCAATTGTCACTTTCACTTTCTGAATTTGCAGAATTCTGTAAACTTCTATGCAAGTCCCATTAATAGCACACAAGAGTGGTAGACGGTTGGAACAAGTTAGGTAAGACGGTAGTAGAGGCCAAAACCGTCAGTAGTTTCAAAGCGTTATATGACAAGTGTGCTGGGAAGACGGGACACCACGAGCATTGCTCTCGTCCTGTAACTATACTAAGGTATTTGCACCAACGCGATTGATGATTTCGTTCCAAACATAACAAAACATGTCTTGTATGAAGCTTAGTCAACCCCTGGTAAAGCACCACTTTATGCACTGTTCAACGCAGTATTTGCAGTTCCCGGCTTGCTCGGCAGATGGAAGTTTTAGGACTTCGGATAAATGCATCCAGAATTTTTGCTCTTCTATCGTCAGGCCTACCAGCAGCTCCTTTCTGATGTGTCACATTAAACTTCAATGTTTTATTATATATAGAAAACTAGCATTATGATTGAGGTTTTTGTATCCAATAGAAGTTGATTTATTGAACAAGTCACCCACTTACATCATGTTTAACGAGACAATACAAATAGTGTACAAAGGTGCCCGAAAGGAGTTGAAATGCTTGCATGTATGAGTTGGGCGTATACAAACATACAAATTATGTTTATATTTTCAGTTAGACAATACAACGTGCACCTTTACTTTGATCAACTTTCTCAGCATCACCCGAATGAACTTTGCAAGAATGCAGCATCATCTTTACCAACTTTGTCAGTGTAGCTTCCCCTTGATAAACGTTTTCAGTGCAGCATCACTTCGATATCACCTTTGTCAAGAGTGCATCACTCTGATGAACTTTGTCAAGAGTGCAGTATCACCTCGATCAACTTTGTCGAGTGCAGCATCACCTCGATCAACTTTGTCGAGTGCAGCATCACCTCGATCAACTTTGTCGAGTGCAGCATTACCTCGAGCAACTGTGTCGAGTGCAGCATCACCTCAAAATCAACTTTGTCGAGTGCAGCATCACCTCGATCAAATTAACAGTGCAGTATCACCTTGATTGTTACAATGGGCGGGTAGTTCATTTGCCAACTTCAAGTTCATTACATCAGAGCTACTTGGTCTATATCAGCTAATCATTTATGACCTTTATTTTAGGGCCTTGTCAGTCCTTTAATCCTAAACAAGCTGAACGTACGCGAACTGTCTTATTTTTCATGAAATTCGATAATTAAATAGAATGAATACAAATCAAGAAACCAAGTGCATTATAATAAATTATATACAAGGATACGGATTTTGTACAAAAGGTAAGCTGAAGATGATGTTCACAGGATGCACGATGATGTAAGAGCAATTAAATAAATGAACAGTAATTTATATACTTTAGCAACAAATGCGCATTAAAAGCAATTCAACTTAAACTGTAATGAATGGTTGTCTCAATACTATCTACTAAATTTTTTAAATATACAGTATAACTTGTTCATTTAATTTTAACATTTTCCTCATGCACCACGCAAGAATAAACAGCTTCAGCGCTTCCCCCTGATAGTTCTCTTCCTTTCAGCAATAAAGCATACAATACTGGAGCAAATATTCAAATAATTCAGTTGGTGTTCATTGAGCACCAAATCAGATAAAATCATTAAGGTCTAAAGCAGGTGACGAGTACTTTCAGAAGACTAGAGATACCTTACCAAGTAAACTAACTTCCTTATAGGAAATTTAGGGAAATGAAACACTGAAGTCATTATAACTCTGAGGAGATTATTTAATCCATGACCGTAATACTGCTTTAAAGTATGACTTCCTTTCTTGACAAATGAGATGCACAATTACAAAGAAACTTCTTTAAACATGAAACGAGTCACTTTGAATTGATCATGCTGCACTTTCCAGAGTTCGTTTATCCAGCTAAGAAAGAAAATGAATCTACAAAAAAGTAGAATATTTAAGTAAATAATATGCATAAAATAAAATCATATTTTGACGACGTCTGTCGAACAAAATAGAATGTGTTAGAAGAATGAGAGTATAAGAATAACTTATATTAACAAATAATAATTATACAGTAATAAGCATTATCAATGAGACACCACGATAAATTTTGTAGACCAATGCAGTTTGCCTTCAGCTAACTAGCCCCATAACCTATATCAAAGCCTAATTCGTCATATACAAAAAAAACTCTAAACAATCTATATAACAAATACTTATCGTCAAACGTGCATTATTTATCAATGAAATAAGTAATAAACGTTTTTGAAAACCCTTTTAACATTCACTTAAATACGTCGCGCTCACAGGGAAAGTTTTTAATTTTCAAAATATTTTACACTTGTAATACAATTTACTGAGCAGACACGTGATTTGTTGTATAAAAGATTTGGGTTGGTCAAGTTTGTATAAAGCAACCAATGCTGTAAACAGACATGATATATTTGTCTCCCCTTTGCCTGTGCACCTGGTGTTGTATTTCTCCCAACCATTTAAACCAAGCCCGTTTTTGTGGCTAAATTTCACAATTCTTGTCTAAACTTAAACACCCTTTACTAAACTTCCTGTCTGGGGTAACGAACACACTAGGATTATCAATAATCAATCTGAATATCATTTACATTTATTATCTGTTTTCCAAAGTGCTGTCAATATTGATAGGCTTCCTGCTGTCTTGACTGGTGAATGGTACGGAATTGAAGAACACATAGCTGTTGGTCACTCTGGATCCTTGGAAGAATGTGTATACCGAGGCACTATAACGGAAGTCGAAAGAAGGGAAGCCAGAAGTACTGACCTCGAGGCATCACTTTGACAGAATACGTTGTATATTCATTTCTCATTTCATCGCAAGTAATCTGCAACGATAAAACTAATCTTAAATTTCTTTATAGTTTTAGCGTAAATTAAAACATCAGATTAGACCAGAGTTTAAGAGTTTATTTTTTTCTATGGAACCACAGATAGCATATCAATTGGTCTGCCAACCACAGTTCCTTTATTATACTGAAACTATACATGAGTGCCCTTTCTTCCCAGTCATGTTGCTTTTCTGCGGCTACACCTGCATTGCAGCATTATTTACTAATCCACTTGGATAATTAATTGTTTAATATGATTTGATGTCATGAACTCACTTTATAAATGTACCTTTCGTCTCCTATGTTGGCATATCTCAAGATAGCAATTGTGAAATGTTTAAAAATCATAAAACTAATCTAGTTTGTAGAGATTTGTCACTTCAAATATTGGCTACTGAAATAGAGAAAAACGTGCCTGGTCGTAAGATTAACAAAGAAGTCGTCTACCCACCTGTGTACAAATTTGTTTTCAGCTCAGGTGTTTGCCAATAAAGATAATTTGCACAAAGTAAGACAGGAATTATAGGTACGGATGCATGGCCAGGAACAGACTTCAAGAAGTGCAAACATTATTACTGTTGGTACTGCCCATGACATTATGGTGTGAAGAGCTTGAAATCAGTGAATGGTAAAATAATTTGAATGGTTTTTCCAGCAAGAACTACCTCTATATCTCTAAATCAGGATGTGAGTTATGCTTATTAAACATTATTGGAAATAATTACAGGATGAGGTATTGATGAGAAGGATGATACAAGGAGGAAAACATAATAGAATTCAAATATACAATGAGGGATGCTATTTACAACTTATAACTCACTAATGTTTATGCCTTTTTTAAAGTCTTTAGTGAATATATTTCATGTCTGCCGATGTCCGGTATCTCACGGATATTTTTATACAAATATATCCGTTCGAAACTCTTGTCCCGGGCACATAATATTTATAAGAATATAATATTTTTTATTTCAAAGTCAGTATTAATACCTGATACTTTATCTACGTAAGCAACGATCGTACTTTGAAATAAATAAAATTACTAACATATCTTTAAGCCCTCGGCCGCAGGGCCCGAATTATTGAACCAAAATGCATATTCGTATTGTTCTTTCAGTATTTTGCTAAGTTTTTGTTATATGTATTTGAACCTAGAAGACCAATGCTGGTAGAGGTTTTGAGGCAATTCTACAAGTGGAATTTCGATATATATTGTACTGTATAATGAATGGCCAAAGACAGACTAAATTTGTATCAATGCATATATCAAATAATTGCCACTTTAAAACTAATAGGGTTATGATGATACAAATTACAATTTTAAATCTAATATATTTAACCGATGTTGCCGTGTGTAGTTAAATCATGTAATTAAATCACATGCAAATTGGCATTAATGCACATGTAAAATGTTTGGGCAGCAACACTTGTCATTGAGACACGACTTAATAACAACTGGAACCTTCCTTGTTACATCATGTAACAGTCATGCTATTAACAACAGTTTGCCCAAGTGTTGAAAATTGTAAGCAGATTAATACATTAATTTTTTAGGCATCATACAGAGTGAAGAAACAGGTCTAAATAGTCTTATCTAATAAAGATTGCTGTTTTCTTTGTATTCTTTATTCACTTACCCATTTCCACAGATTTTTTAATGTTGAAGTATTAATTATTTTTACAGGTGTTTAATGTACAAATACTTATATTTTAAAACAAATCACTTAGCACAATGTTGCTTTTTATATACAGAAACTTTCATTTTAAGCCAATAGGCACAATGTAGTTAAGCACTTCAAATCAATAGTCAAAACTCTGAATAACTAACTTTCCTTAGGCAAAATTAAATTGCCAGGTAAGACGTTCAAACCTCAATATAGATTATTTACTTTTTCTCACAATCATAATTCAGAACAATCAAGTACAGTAGAGTGGGAATTTTCCAACAGTAATGAAATTAGAATGATGTGCTTTATTTGAAGGACGTGATTATAACAAAAATTACAATTCTTTGTACTGTGTATGACAAGCTTGCAAGGTCCAAAATATTGTGAAATGACAAACTTTGGAAACTAGTATGGAAGAATATATGATGATATATCCATGGTTTTTTCGTGTGCCTCTACAACAGCCAATTTGTTGTGCAAATCAACAAAAAGCTCATTTCATTTTCCATGAACATACCTTTACAAAAGGGTGCATCTACTCTTCTTAGCCCCATGGTCCAGTGCGGCCTTGACAGCAGTTTCAAACACTTCTTGAACTCCTTCCGTAGTTTTGGCTGAACATTCTACGTAGGCATAAGCATTTATTTTCTCAGCCATGTTTTGTCCGTCCTCAGGCTTCACTGGCTCTTGATCTACCTTCCTAAGTTCTTCAATAGTTGCAGCATCGTCTCGTAGATCCTAAAATTACTTTGACGCTCATTAAATGACGGGGAAAATTATTCAAGTTATTATATGTTAATAGAATTAACAATATTACTTCATGAAAAGACAGTTTTAATAGCAAAAAAATAATTTATGAATGTAGAATCTTAAGTGCTGATTAGTATGACCGCCATTTTTAGGAAGGAACTCTAGATGTTTAAAACAAAGTAAAAAAAATATATATCACACCAGGCTGGTATATTTCAGAATACGAATAGGTTTGTAGGTACAAGTGGTGTACTGATTACAAGGTATTGTTATAAGTACAGGTGCTTGCTTGCAACCTACACAACCTGATGTAGGGAGGAGAATGAATGTACTACAGCTAGATATGTTTTGATAGTAGTCGATCACGAGCGATATCTCCTGGTCATCAAAACAATAAAATCTTGTGATTGGGAATGAATCGTAGTATATTTGCAGTCACGCGGTTTACTCGACTAATATAGCACCCGCACAACAGAATGTTTGCCCACCAACTCTCATCCTACGAGAAAGAAGCAGCCACATGATGTGCTCTATTTTAGTACTGTTAAATATGTTGTGCGCTCTACAATAATTACTAGAAATTAAGATGTTAGCTTCAGCCCACGACTGTTGGCAGAAACAAAAGTCTCAGTCAATGGTCAGATGTTTGATATTCTAAAATGTTAGCTGGCCAGATAACAGAGAAATAATAGACATCACGAAGATGGTAAAGTCGCATAACTTGTCTTCTAAATAGGTTAGACCTAATAGATTATGGGAATGTCTGGGTTGCCATGAATCAGTGATCCTAATTTAAGAAATTATTAATATACAGTGCTGCCTCTATTCTAACAGCTCTGTACTTTAATGAATCATTAATGTATCAATGTCTGTGTAATACTGTATCAGACTATTGTTATGCATCTAGAGCATATGGGCAAAGGACTGTACTGTATATAAGTTCAAATTCATGCAGTATCCCAATAAAACTCTCATACTAGGCTATGATATTCTATATTATATATATATATATATATATATATATATATATATATATATATATATATATATATATATATATATATATATATATATATATATATATATATATATATATATATATATATATATATATATATATATATATATATATATATATATATATATATATATATATATATATATATATATATATATATATATATATATATATATATATATATATATATATATATATATATATATATAGGTTCGGTTAGATATATGACCGAACATATAGGTTCGGTCATATATCTACGTTAATTTTAACTCCACTAAAAAAAATTGACCTCATATAGAATGAAATGGGTAGCTTTATCATTTCATAAGAAAAAAATTAGAGAAAATATATTACTTCAAGAAAACTTGGCTTATTAGGCAAATCGGGCCATGCATAGTAGGCTGAGAAGTGCGTTCTGGCTACTAGGTACGACATATATATATATATATATATATATATATATATATATATATATATATATATATATATATATATATATATATATATATATATATATATATATATATATATATATATATATATATATACATGTATATATGTCGTACCTAATAGCCAGAACGCACTTCTCCGCCTACTATGCAAGGCCCGATTTGCCTAATAAGCCAAGTTTTCATGAATTAATTGTTTTTCGACTATCTAACCAACCTAACCTAACCTAACTTACCTTTTTCAGCTCCCTAACCTAACCTAACCTATAAAGATAGGTTAGGTTAGGTTAGGTAGGGATGGTTAGGTTCGGTCATATATCTACGTTAATTTTAACTCCAATAAAAAAATTTGACCTCATACATAATGAAATGGGTAGCTTTATCATTTCATAAGAAAAAAATGAGAAAATATAATAATTCAAGAAAACTTGGCTTATTAGGCAAATCGGGCCATTCATAGTAGGCTGAGAAGTGAGTTCTGGCTACTAGGTACGACATATATATATATATATATATATATATATATATATATATATATATATATATATATATATATATATATATATATATATATATATATATATATATATATATATATATTTATATATACTACTTGTGTATCAATAGTTGGTGAAGATGGAGTGCAAGGTGTCGTTATGAGTACACAGCGTGTAACAAGCTATTTTAGTCAAGAATTTTGGTAATGAGTACAGGGAGGGGGGGGGGGTGTAGAGGTTAACAGACTTCCGTAATGAGAACACGAAATATAACGAGCAGGTTGGTGCAATGAGCACAGTCAGCTGTTGTAAGGACTAGAAGGAAGTAGTTGTGGTGTTCAGTGGTGCTTATTAGTGTCTAAGGGAAAGTGAAACTAGCTCCAAGATCCCGCTTTAAACCTATTGTTTTTAGTGATAGCTGAGTTTTGGCTGTTTTTGGAGTTGATGTATTGCGGTGAGGGGGTATTGTGATATGTTGGGGTGTTAGGAGGGTAAGTCGGAACTCTCGTATTGGTGGTTATTATGGCGGTAGTAATGATCTAGCAAAGTTAAATCATTATATTAACTGTTTACATACCTTTTTGTTTCCAACTACAATAATAGGAACCTTTGGACAATAATGTTGGACTTCTGAACTCCATTTATCTAGAATACTTTGCAAGGAGTCTGGAGAGGCAATAGAGAAGCATATTAGAAAGACATCTGTGCCTGAATAAGAATGGATACGCAGCGAGTCGTAGTGATCAGGGCATGGTCTGTACCATAGGCGGAGCTGCACCTGAAATATTTTAAACTGGAAATTAAAATATATAAATAAAACCCGATACGCTTTATTCACTACTGAAGGATTAACTAATATGTATTATGATATCTGATATACATTTATATAAAGTACGTAATACTTTTATAAAACTACTTTTTTTATTTTGGTTAAATCTCTGTTCCTACAGAGATTCTCAGTTTTAGTCAAATACATGATTAAGAATTACCAAATTAATATATATATATATATATATATATATATATTATAGATATATATATATATATATATATATATATATATATATATATATATATACTGTATACCATACTCTGCTTGTAGTTTTAATATATGCTCTGGGTAAAAAAAATTCTATAACAAAACACTGACCACTCCAAAGTGTGCACTACATGAAGGAGACTCCTCACACCAGAAACTAGCCCATTATTATTTGTTACAATTTCGCAAAATTAGGGTGCATAAAATACACTGAATTTGTAACTCCATATTTTGTCTTAAAATCCGAGCGCATAAAATACACAAATGCAGGAAATAATGAAAAATTAAAAACATTTAGTATGTAATGTAATAGTCAAACCACTCACCTGTTTGCCATCAGTTTCCATGTCATGTATACACTTTTCAAATATTGTTGGCACATGGTCTTCTGGCAAAACATTCGTTAAGAATACTACTAGGAGACTTGTGATACCAGAGCCAGCATCCCCCACTGCGAATAATTTTATTCGAATGAACACCATGATTTCTGAAAGAAATTGGTGTTAGGTTAGGAACTATTTTTAATTGTAAGATTCGATCCCCAAAAACGATGAGATACTACTTTAAAATTATTTTCACCTAGGAGTTCATAGTTTTAGGACAGAACCACCTTTTCTTGTAGAAACAAGAAAAATAAATTCTTAACTAAATAAAACTACAAAAAAAGCATCGGGGTTTAATTACGACTTCAGCACGCATTCCATGTTCAGTCTTCTTTCCTTGGAGTCAGGTGCATGAAAACTCAAATTAAGATTATTAGTTGTACTTTTATTTAACAATATTTTTAGTTTACTTAATTTATACAGACGATGAGTCGCAATAACGTGGCTGAAGATATGAAGACCAACCTACACACCAGAGGATGAGGAGACGACGACGTTTCGGTCCATCCTGGACCATTATCAAGACCAATCGACTTGTAATGGTCCAAGACGGACCGAAACGTCGTCGTCTCCTCATCTTCTGGTGTGTGGTTTGGTCATTTTTACTTTCAAGCTATGATGCATTTCTTCATTGAGCTTTGTAATCACCTACGAGCTTTATAAAGAATAATATTTATACTGAAACTTCTCTAATAATTTAATAGCTGAAACATGAGGGGGCCCGGCCTGAATTCTGCCTCAGGCCGGGCTGCAAGAGCATAAAATCTCTGAAAAGTTTACTTCGTGTAAGTTTACGCCCCTCGACACAACACTTTCTTTTCACTGAAGCTACATCAAATTGACCTAAATAATAGTCCTATGTTAACAATCCTGGTGTGAAACACTACGTGGATGTAATGCTGGAGGGTGGCGGTGAAGATTCTATGAAATGTTTCATTATACATAGCGAAAAAATAAAGATTGGATGAATATTTGGTCATCTTTAACTTTCTTTTCTTACCCTTGTGAGAATTATATTGTAGTTTACTTTAACGTTTCCTTTCAGTGTCAAAGGTAGTGCTGGGCTATTAAGCAACCTGGGGTTAAAACAATTGAACCCCGGGTTAGTGGGACTCCACTTATCAGGGCAAGGAGAGAGGGAGGAAAGCAGAAACCACATCGGAATAGGGCACGTGTACCCCAAGAGAAACTCCACTTTAAGAGCGGAGCACTCCTGGCCCCAACACCCAAGCATCGGGCGCAGCTCGTCCATGAGGGCGAGTCCTCCAGCCACCCCATACTGGAGGTGTACGTCAGTGTAAGGCAGCCTGCCTCTCACCCTTCCTCCAGCAGCCAGCTCCGAGGTGGAGGCCCTACCAGGCACTCAAGAGGCACTTCCCAACACTCTGCTCGATTAATTAACGAGGCATAAAACACCACTCAGGGCGTTAAGATAGCTGCCCCAGTTGGGTCATTCTACACATATAAACAAAAAAAGTAAAGTGAATCTAAATTTACAGCTCTAAATTTAATAACAAAATTATGATGACAAATAAGCTAGACTACAGACTGGTGGAGCCACGCCGGCCAAGACCAGCCCAAGATGGCGCCGCCGTCCTCCACATACTGCACACCTTCACCTCTATGGCGTAACTGGATAAACAAAATCGAGTTCCTGTGAAGTCAACGAGCTCCGATATATCTTACCAGGAGTGGTGTGTGTGAGAGCTTACTTGAAGAAGTCACACTCAGAAATCGGCCGTACCTCCCCGTTGGTCGGCAGGAGGAACACTGAGCCCTGAGCCTCGGTCACAAGGCATGACAACATTAAGGGAGTTTCAATATAATGTAACATAATCAAACAAAATATTTTTTTCCGGGAACAATATCATAGTAAAAATATAGTAAGGGTGAAAAAATATGTTTTCTGTTCTACATTGTGGTGTATTGAGATAAAGCTGTTGCCCATTGTATGATACATTTGACCTTTCACTGAAATGTTCTTGATTAATATCTTCAACTTTGTCCATAGCCTAGTCATTTAGTATTTGAATTCAGGAAAAAATAGGAAACCTAGAAATTGTATTTTTTCTTTATCACATGAGTGATGATTCCACGCTAAGTTTCCCCTCGGGCATCCTTTCCTCAGGGAGGAGATCCACTCAAGGGAATGGATTGAGAATGACTATGTAATTAGTGCAGCAAATCATCTATGGTTAAGTTAGGTTTGGTTAGATTTCGTTACGTTTGGTTACATTAATATGATGTATTATTGGCGATAATGTAAAATATGGAATTTGAAAGCTATTTCGGTGTGCCTGAGAATTCTGTTTACAGAAAACCAAATCCTTCGAAGAAAACGTTTTCAGCTTACACTTATTATATTTTAAACCAAGGATTTATAATACAATAATGTTATAACTTGAAAATAGTCTGTTTACGACAAATTCATTTGCTAGTTTACATGTAGACTATTACTGGAAACGTAATATGCTTTCAGATCATCACAAATATCTAGATAACTATCCAAATGGTTTGAAGGGGTGTGTGTTGTTTCTCATGGTAATGGATTTGCTATGAACACGGGCTCCCTCAGGAGAAGTAAGCTTCGGCCACTATCTTGAAAAAAATGGCGCCGAAAAATGCCTTGAGTGCTGGGAAGAGGAAGTCGGACATAAGCCTACCCTTTAGTCTTATGCTTTAGGCTCTAGGAGACCCTGATCGAGGACCGGGCCGCAAGGACGCTAAGCCCCGAAATCATCTCAAGGTAACCTCTAAGCTCACATCAAAAGGACATCATCAGCTAGGCTGGCCAACATAACCGGCTTTAGAAATTTAAGTACAGAATCATTCAGAGCCATATATACTCAGTACCATATTTGTGTGTATGGGATGAAATGTAAAGTGTGTGGACAAAGACGGAAACGCACAGTAAAACATTACATTTTATACTGTGATTTTTTTTCTGGCCATGCAAAACAATTGCATCTTTTACGGAGAAGCAAATCGAGAGGACGGGTTGATCAAATATACTTGTTGGCTGGTCACTAAGCTATTGTGGTGGTAATGCTTGTCCTCATATTTCTGTATAGTATTGTATTGTCATTTATTTGGTTTATTTTTTGTTTTTGTCTTCTGGATGCTTCAGCTGCTAATAGACCTTAAACGTTAATCCAAAACAACCATTTAGACTTAACCCATGATCAGAACACACCTGCTTGATGCCAATTTGGATAATAGTAATTATATGGTTCGCCTATTAATTATGGTTTCCTATAATCGAGGACAGAAAGCCTAATTGTTAGATGAATTATTATCGAGGTTCCCCCTGGGCCATGGACTGTTTTTTCCCAAAATGCAACCCACAAGTATAGTTGCTTAATTTCGGGGTACATATTTATTTGCTAGGTGACCAGGATAATCAGTTGAAAGGAAACGAACCCAACAAATGGAATGCATTAAGCAATGATGTGGTGGAGGCAGATTCAAATGTAGATATGATAGAGGTCAATAGACTCCGGAATCTGCTGTACACCAAGTTCAAGTTCAAGTTCATGTTTATTGAGACAATGAAGAAATACATCTCATGGGTTAGAGTAGCTTAGGCTATTTCTAGCTTTTTCGCGTTTTTGCACATGGCTGCTACAGCTGGATATTGTGAATTTGTTCTTGATTGTTGACAGTGCCTTTGAGTGTCGAGGAAATGGCTGAGGCGGTATGCCTAAGTGGTAGTGAGGAGGACAGATAAGATGACAATATGTACACCATTTGGTTGACGAATGAGAGGCGGAACCCATTTTTTTTTAGGGTTAGTTCATTTATTATGCACCCCATACCCATCTTGTGGGCGGTAGTGGAAAGGGTTACAGAGCCACATAATGGGTTCAGGGACTGAACTCCACAATTCATTTAGCTAAGCAAGTTACAAAGGCGGGACCAAAGAGCCAAAGCTCAACCCTTGCAAGCCGTCTCTTTCCCGGCTGGGATCCGATCGGTTGTGAGCCGAGAACGTAGACTACTGTGGTATCACAATACAATATACTATATGACCGATAATAAATGTGATACAAAATCGATATAAATTAAAGATCAGGAATATTTTTAATAATTCTGTAGATAATAATACATTATATACGTTCCACAAAGGGTAATCTTTAAACAAAAATAATCTGGAGAATATGGGAAGTTAAGAGAGCAGCTGAGGAGTGTAAACAGGCCGGGAGGCGAGGGGACGGAGACAACCTCAGGTTTACCTTAAGACAGCTCTTCCTTCAGTGTCTACTATCTATTTATTGGGACCTTAGTAAACCGGAATATATTGGTGCATTTTTCGGTAAGTTTTATTTTGAAATTATACAGGTAGAGGTCAGGAAATGGTTGGTTTCAATCTGGTTGGAAGTCGAATCCACATCACCACATACAGGTATTGGGGGGTTTTAGCTGAATTTACCTAATAGCCATTAACAGTAGTGGCCTCGACGAGGACAGGAAGCCGGCGGCTTGTCGAAGGTCCCCCCATTTGCCTTGAATAATAGTTGTTTTGAATAGTAGTTGACGATAAAACGATACCTTTGTGGTCGGATGAAGCCAAAGTTAAAGAAACAATAACTGTACTTATTTTATTTAGCTATACATACTGTATATATTTTGGTTATTGATATTTCGTTTGGGCGATAAATTATGGTGGTTGCTTTATGCTGTTTATTTCTTGAGTTAAGTGTGGAATAGGTTAAAAAAAAAGGCACCAAGAATATATATTTAATGTCATCATTACTTAAATAAATCTAACCTGTCCTAATCTAATCTGATTTAGCAAAAATAAGGTAATGGTCATGTATGGGATCCTGTAGTACAGTGATCCACATTCTTAAATCCCAATCAGGGATCTGGATTCAATCCCTAGGCAGGACAGAAATGATTGATGTTTCCTGTCGCCTGATGCCTCCGTTTACCTACCAGTAAATAAGTACCCTGGAGTTAAGCTGCTGTTGTGGAATGCAACATGGTGAGTGTCAATAATTTGACCTATGGGGGGACCTCAATGCAGGCATACATACAGGCTTTCTGTCCCTGACAATGGGAATAATTTATTCAATGTGAGGTGTGAGACGTTATCCAATTACTAGCATCTAAAACCTCGGTAAAGCTTGAAGAGGCTATGTCATCAATACTCTTTATACAAACGTAACCTAACCTAAACAGTCAGGTACCAATATATCCCATGTACCTATTTATTGCTACACTAGATGAACAGAAGCTTCAGGTGTAAGAAAATGTGGCCAAATGTTTTGCCCTGATACAGAATCAAATCCGGGACCAACTGGTTACAAGTCAACTGCACTAATAATTCTACAACAGAAAACCCTAATATCTATTGTGAGGGAGAGAAAATGGCATTACACTTCGTGCCATTTGCAGTCCACTAAACCTAACAAATCTTACTTCACTAAACCTAAGTAAACCTAACATATCCTATTCCAATCTATCTTTACCTATTGTAACAATAATTTATACACTGTATATACATCTCATAGTACAGTTGGTTTTATTCTTGCCTCTCAGGGAATCTGGATTCGATTCCCGGGTGGGACAGAAATGATTGGGGATGTTTCCTGTCAACTAATG